TCGTCATGCTCAGGACCCTCAAGGTAAAAAAGAAATCTTCAACTTTGCACATTCGTCTCTTAGAAATGTTATCGAGAGGTCTTTTAGGGTTTTGAAGATGAAGTGGAGGATTTTGTTGAGTATGCCGAGATATCCACCTCATGTGCAAAGCCAAATAATAGTAGCTTGCATGGCACTGCATAATTTTATTAGGAGCAGTGGCATAGTGGACAAGGATTTTGATCGTTGTGATTGTGATGAGAATTATGTGCTACCCGAAGCTCTGGCATCGCAGCCACAAACTCAGGCCTCGTCGTCAAGGGATGAATCTGCGTTGATGAATGCTTTCCGTGACTCAATTGCGTTTGCTTTGATGAATAGGACATAAAATTCGTACATGAGTGATGTGGTTTCTGTGTATGAGTGATTGGTTTGTTATATGTTGTAATGCTTATGAGTGATTGGTGCCTTCAGTTGTAATGGACTTGTGAGTTGTGACATTGAACATTTGTACATGAGTTATATAGTTTCTGTGTATGAGTGATTCTGTGCATGCAAATGTGCCGAGCAGCATGCATAGCATGCATGTGCTTGACTGGTATTAATAGTCCAAAAGCATCATTTATTATGGGCAAATCTGTCATCTTTTGTTACAGCTCAAAAGTTTTCGGATATATCTAAACAGGGTCTGATTTTTTTTTTGCAGAATTAGGTTTTGACCTTGAAAACATTTCGCAGAAAGTTTTCGACCCATTTCGCATCTAAACACCACCTTAACTAGATTTATTGCTAAACAAGAAGCCAAGTATGTACCCCTCGTTCGTAAAGAAAAGTACAGAGCACTCGATCAATTTATTATTGTAGTATTTTGTATACATTGGTTGCTTAGAAAAAGTTGTATTTTGTACATGTGCTTAGCCTCCGGGGTGCTGCGGTGGCCACACTTGAGTGCATATGCATCTTAATCCCAACCCAAGCGACCGGTTCCTACACGGCTACACTTGAGTGCATGCATAGCATATGCATCACCAAGTCAAGAATCATTGAATGCCACCTACGAGCGAGTAGTATTTGCGGCCGGTGGACCCGGTCCTTACATCACTATGAATTGACTAACCAAATCGATCGAAACACTGCACATGTGATGAGATCGACGCAGATGACTAACGGTATCATCGATCGGCAGCGTGCAACAGCTAGCTTCTAGCTACGGCGTACGTGGGATACATCACTACAGTCGTACAGGCTCGTATTCAATCCCAGCCGTCCAAGACGAGGTCGATGGGCAGGCAGACGTACGTCCAGATCAAAGCCCAGAGCGCGAGTAACTTTATTTTCCAAGCCATCGCTTACGAAGTTACTACAGTACGTACGATCCATGAACGAGCCGCATCGATGCATGCATCTCTCTAGACTAGCAGCAACAAGCATGCATGTCGCTATATATACGCGCAGTTAATAAAGCAACAAAGGACACCCAGTGCCGGCCCTGGAGGTAGGGCACTAGGTGCGACGATCGAGGGCTCAAGTGGAGGAGGAACCTAATCCTAGGTATATAGAACCCCAGGTCCTATAGTCCATTAGTTATTAGCAAACTAATAAGAAGAGAGACATAGAACTGGCCAGACGGCTCAAAAAGACAACATTGGCATTTCTTTCCTAGTTTTCTTTTTTCACGGCCCTCGGGTAGAGAGGAGGCGAGGAGTCACGCTGCACACAGCACACTCTAATCGTGAGTTCGCGGCGTGCGCCTTACACACGCGGAGCTGGCGAGCCGCGCCTCCGCGAAGAACTAGACTATCGGAGACACGGACACGACGCACGAGGACGGTGACCAGGCAGGACTCCACGACGACGACATCTTGATTCTTGGCTTCTTATGAATTACCATCACCGATCAGTTGTTTAGGCCCAAGGTATTTTTTTATTTTTATTTTTAATCTAAATTAATTATTTGTATAGTATTCTAGACTTATAGTACTTTGTATCCATATAGTTATATTTTTCTTCTAATTTAGGTGTTAGAATTTTAGAATGTTACCTAAGAAACATTTGTCATGGGTGAGAAAAGAAAACGAATATATTGCTTTTTTAATCTACATTGTTCCTCGATAATTATCATATATCTACAAATATATTGCTTAATCTATATTGTTCCTCGATAATTATCAGACATGTTAAATTAAAAATGTTATTGAATTTGCTTTCGTTTTGCAAGTAAAATTAGCACCTATATATTATAAGATTTTATACATGGTTAAGAGGCCCGTTGTGACGAGATCGCCAGAGGACCCTTAAAATCCTAGGACCTGCATGGGCACGAGCGAGCCAAACGAGCTCGCCTCACCACCTCACGTGCGTGCATCGTCCAGGCGTGAGGTCGACACGTAGCTGTAAGAGTAAGGCTGGTTCCGCTATCTAGAACCACTCCTGGAACGATTCTCGACCGGAATGATTGACTTAGGGCTCGTTCGTTTAGCCCTCGTTCCCGATGGATTCATTCCAGATGATAAAAAATAGTATAAATTTACACAATATTCCTGGCTGGATTCATTCCAGGCCTCCATTCCGTGAGAAACGAACAGGGCCTTATTTGTATAACAATTGATCACATTAAAAAAAAACGAACGACCCCTAAGACGTCCCGCATTTGCTAGCACCCAGCGGGAAGCAACTAGGCAACTAGTTAACCTCAGCATGTGCGCTGGCTGCCGGTCGATCTCCTGGGGGAAACGTGGATCCGATCCGTTGAGATCGCGATTGTGAACAGGTTCCTGCAGGAAGCGTGCGTAACATGATAAAATAATGAATGTTTGATAAAATAAAACCGTAACTTCGTGACTCCTTGCTACTGTCCTAATGAATGCAAAGGAATTACGACGTTCATATCTCCGCGATATACTAAAATTAAAACACACTTGGAAGTGTGTTCTAAAGACAAAATTGGGGTCAGAAACACGGATTTTCACTAGGAAGTTCTCAAAGAAATTTGATAAAATTTATACCAACCCTTTGCAATTAATTACCTTTCAAAAATAAAGAAACCACTCCTTCCAAAAATGTTTTGTTCTGTTCCTCGTTTTTTTTTGGTAATGGGAAATTCCGTTAAACTTTAATTAGAAAAAAACTAGCAAAGAGCACGTGGTGTCCATGAGTAACGCCACCATTTGATAGGCTCCTCTTTGGCTTCAGCTCCTCCGAAGAAGCCCTAAGAGACGGATTAGTAGGAGGAGATATTTGGAGTCGTTTTTTCAGTGAAAAGGAGTCAGATGAGCCTTTGAGGTGGAGCCCTCCCAAACACACTCTAAGAATAGATTTTTCATCTTCAGTGATCTTACTTTTAAATAGTACTAGAAGTTACACTCCATTCTAATATAAATTGCATATTACTATAGATTTGTCCTAAGTCGAACTTCTCAAATTTTCACTGCTCTCTATATAGCAAAATATATAAACATTTACACCATCAAAATTAGTTTTTATTAAGTTTTTCATAAAATATTTTGCATTCATTTGAACTTGTACATGCTAGTATTTATCTCCAAAACCTCGATCGATGTTGGAAAAATGATGTTGGATGAAGCTAAAGTTTTGGAACGAAAAGAGGATCCAGCAAGAAGAAATGTTGGGGCCCTGGCCAAAATACTCCAGCGAGCTACCTGTTCTTTGTTGACACGCCTCCGGAAAAATGCCAATTTAGGTGCGCTTTACATAGAGCGTACGTGTTGGATCCGCTCATTCATCAATGTCAGACTCTACAATTGCCTTGCCCATCCAAACCTGCCTCCACTAATCACTCTTGTCGTATATATCCAGACACACGTTTCTTAATTAGGGAAATTCAGAGTCTTTCAAGCCATTACGCGTTTTCGTTGTACCCAGCTTTGTAGTTCTTAGCTTGGTCACTCCTTTAATCTTACTAGATTCAGGTTCGAGAAATGTGATTTCTTTACTATTATGTTTTGGATCGGCTCCAGCTGTACATAATTTCCTATCCTTTCTTGTTTCTTCCACAGCTCAAAAACTCAAGAAAGTTCACAGTAACTGCACTCTGTTTTTCTTTAAAAAAGAGAGAGAGAGAAAACATTCACAACAACAGATCAGTTGGATAGTTATGTAAGGCTAGCAGTGAATAAGCCATCCCAAGTCAGTAGTAAAATCTGAAAGCGTCAAATATATATCTACGGGAGCAGAATGCCACTTGGGCAAATAATTGCACGTCATGTCGTGAAATCCATCGCCGGCTTAGCTCCCGTGATCCGATCAACAGCGAAGCAGACTCACTACACACTGTGTGAGATGAAGTTTAATTACTACTTCCATCTCAATGGGAGTTTCATCTCATTGTTTCTAAGAATCCCATGTGTTAAAAACAATGTAAATAAGTTTCATCCCCATGAAACTCATTTCACTCCATTAAATTTTCATCACCTCTCTCTTCATTAATATCATGACATATCAACTTATTTAATGCTCATGAAACTATGATGAAACGTCCATTGAGACTGGCCTTAACTTGGTCAAAGCTAAACTAATTTGACCGACATGGGTCTCATAACTGTATTCTTCCATAGACGGAGCGAGTACGATTGAGAGATGACGATGTAAAGACCAGAGCGAGCAGGGCGAAGCTATCATCAATGTTATGGTGGTGCACCACTGAAGCGACAAATGAATTCTTCTCATAGTACATGGTGAGTGTTAGTCAATTTACTAATAATTTTTTGGTGCATCCTGGTGCCAGTGCACCACAGTAACACAACATGGCTTGAGTCCACTAATCAAATTCACCCGGCCGGAGGAAAGCCCTAGGCCTTCAGTCTCGTACTCTTCTCGGCACACCCTGCCTGATTTCTTGCATATAAATACAGGGCACCGCCCGTACACGGAGCATCAGCTACTCGACGCACACACAAAAACAGAGAGACACAGGACAACCTTCTGCCGCTGAGAGTTTTTGTGTTCTTGCGCCATCCTCTCCACCGCTACGTACAGCTGTGCAGCTCCATCGAGAGACGAACATGAACATGGACTTCACCGGAGACGCCGACGGCTTCGCCCTCGACTTCATCCACGACCTCATGCTCGGCGGCGACGGCAGCGTCCCCGTGGCCGACGACGTCACCTTCCCCGTCCTGCCACCTCATCAGCCGGAGTTCCAGCCCATGTCTTCTTTTTTACCGCACCAGCAGCATCAAGGCTACATGGACGTAGGAGCTGCTCCGACCAACGCTGCTGCTGTCGGCGAGGCGGCGGCGTTCCGGGCGCAGGAGCTGGCGCCACCGGTGATGATAAAGTTTGGGAGCGAGCCGTCGTCGCCCGTGGCCACCACCATGAGGCAGCCGCTCACCATCTCCGTGCCGCCGAGCTCGTACGCCTGGGCCGCCGCGCCGGCCGCGCCGGCCGTCGAGGATTTCCGCAAGTACCGCGGCGTCCGGCAGCGCCCCTGGGGAAAGTACGCGGCGGAGATCCGCGACCCGAAGCGGCGCGGCTCGCGCGTGTGGCTCGGCACGTACGACACGCCCGTGGAGGCCGCACGCGCCTACGACCGCGCCGCGTTCCGCATGCGCGGCGCCAAGGCCATCCTCAACTTCCCAAACGAGGTTGGCACCCGCGGCGCTGATGAGCTCTGGGCGCCGCCAGCCCCTCCCGCGACGGTGACGCAGGCCTCGACGGCGAACAAGCGGAAGCGGCAGCAGGTGATGGAGGGTGAGGACCCCGACGTTGAGGTGGTCGCGGTGGTGAACAAGGCGGTGAAGACCGAGGCGCCGTCGTCGTCGTCGACCCGGGCGTCCTCCTCCACCTCGCCGGCATCGACGGTGACGTCGACTACGACAGGGAAGGGCGGAGGTGCTGAGTGGCTCCCCGTGACACCGTCGAGCGGGAGCTCGGAGCAGTACTGGGAGGCGTTGCTCCGAGGTCTGCCGCCGCTCTCGCCGCTGTCACCACACCCAGCGTTGGGGTTTCCCCTGCTTAGCGTAAACTAAACTAAGCCGCCCGAGACTGTGCCTGCCCGAGAGTGTTACCACAGACTGACGGCATGTGCGGGTACGGTGTCCACGAAAATGTAAATTTGCAAGGGGTCGGATCACCAAGTTTATTAGCAGAGTAGGAATAGATCACCATCTACAGTAGTAGACATATAAGTTGCACACATAGTTCACTCTTAGCAGAGGGACCTGAGGGTTTCTCAGTTCATGGATATATAAATGAAATACAATTTGATTTGTTTAATGAGTGGGTCATATATGTAGGATTTTCGACATCCTGTATGTAGAAGGTTTTTGTTCTAAAGAAATATATATCTCTATAATGAGCTACTAATAAAATACTCGTCTAGTTGCAAATTTTACAAAAGTATAGGAATCTATCACCCAACTATAGTGGGCGATGGGGTTCAACCTTCAGAACAGCTTTCAAACATTCACAAAAAGTTATATCAAAATTTGCCACGCTGCAAACTTTCCTTTTTTTTTTTTTTTGGGGGGGGGGGGGGGACTATGCCTCGTTACTTAAGGAGAGTTAATACAATAAAATCCTGTCTACAAACCATCGCTTGCTTAGCACAAAGAGGAGCTACAAAGTTTGTCGTTCTTCTCGTAAATTCTACTCTGAAAAGCTTGTGAAGGCCGAAGCTATCGCCGCTGCATCCTCCAGTATTACACAAATTTCCGAACGATGTTTGCTTCCTATGTCGCCAAAGCGAGACCAGGACCTGTGAATCTGTCTCCAAGATGATGTGTTCCCTCGTCCCGATCGGGACCAGCCGGACACCATCGCGTAGCGCCTCAGCTTCCGTCATTAGAGCCGAGTCCACCAAGTTAATCCAGCGGGCCGAGGCCAGCATAGCTTACCATTCACTACCACAGAATACTGCCCCCGTTCACTACGGGATACGGTAAGACCCAAAAACACTATCAGTAAAGGCTTTGCCGAGTGTAACACTCAGCATAGAGAACACGGCATTTACAGTGTCGGCGAACAGCTATTTGCCGAATGTTTTTTATCGCGCACTCGGTAAATGGTTTGCCGAGTGTCCATAAATACTCGGCAAAAATAAACTCTTGGTAAAAAAAAGTTAACGGGATGGCACGGTGACGGCGCTTTTGCCGAGTGCACGACGGAAAAACACTTGGCAAAGTTTCTCAACTTTGCAAACTTTGCCGAGTGTCAAGCCCAAAACACTCGGTAAAGTTTCTAAACTTTGCTGAGTGTCAAGGCCACAACACTCGGCAAAGTTTAGACACTTTGCCGAGTGTCACGCCCAAAACACTCGGCAAACAAGCGCGCAACGGCCAGATTTTATGGTCACTTTGCCGAATGTCCATTAGAATACACTCGGCAAAACCAAAACACTCGGCAAAGAAGGTTATCAGAATAACAGAAAATGGCCTCTTCGCCGAGTGTTTTGGCTTGACACTCGGCAACTCCTCTCTTTGCTGAGTGTTACACTCGGCAAAGCGACAAATACCCCCCCTTTTACTAATTTGTCACGTATAACGGATCCCTCTCGATTCACAATAAACCATCACAATTCACAATAAACCATCATCACAGGCATAATTATATGTCATAGGCATAATAAATCATCATCACAATTCACAATAAACCATCATCACAATTCACAATAAACCATCATCACAGGCATAATAAACCATCATCACAAGTCACAACTAAGTCACAATAAGCTACAAATGCAAATACAATCATTGCGGAGGCCCTTGGGACCACTGCGACAAATCCGGGTCTTGAGGCTGATTATTTGATGCCGCCGATTGATTCTGTACAAAAGAGAAGAGATTGCATGTGTGAGACAAGATTGATATTTATATGTGATGTACTTAATATCTAAGGTTCTTTGACACATGGAGATTGCACTTAATTCATTATTCACGTGATACTTGTTGATCATTTTTGTTACATTGCAAAAAAACAAAAGATTCTACAAAATCTAAACTACTATGGAAGTTCACAAGTTTCCAAATTGACATGCGCCATTTCGCACTGAGAGCCAATAAGTCAAAAATGGCCCCCATGAACTTGACCTAAAAGACAATAAATTAGTTGGTGATAACTCTGATACTGGACCAGCTAAAACAGCTTCTTTCACAACCATACACATCCACAGTATCCAGAGCTCGAAAATTGGTCAATAATTTTAAACCAAAAGGGCTCCCTAAGATCATGACAGTTAGAAAAAAGAAACTAATAGCTTACTGCTAGTACAGTGAACAATTGGACATAGATGTAAAACTAGATCTGTAGAAAAACAATCGAGCACAATTGATTAAAAGGTTAAACGGAGTTTCATCAGGACAGCACGCTATCCATTCATATATTAATCAGTCATGAGCTTGGGGATTGACCTCATAGGTGCAAAGCACAGCTGGAAGACACTAAGATGCACGAGTTACTAAACTAGCCAGTTCACTCACCTGACTCCTGTATCTTGGTTTATATGGTGCGTAAGTAGAACAAACCAACTACCTGATGAGAACTGTGTAATGAGTTCATGAATTGCTTGGTCCAGTGAGAAAGGCATATGGTAAAAACTGATCCAGCTAATCCAGAAGGCATATGGTAAAATTCAGGCAGAGCCCATCTGAACCACACGTGATACCTGCTGTTGTCGGACAGCAACAATGGCTGGATCCCCAATCTGTCCAGCCTGGGACTTTTACTCCATTCAAACAGTACATTTATTTCAATTAATTTTCTTCTCACTAGTTTGGGATTTCATCCGTAAATACTTTGTCATCTCCTACAATGGCAGAGGACCTGCCGAGCTTGCTCAAAAAATGAATTCTGTGACACAACCATGTACTGAAGTAGATTTTCGATACAGCTAACCAGGATACAAACCAAGGTCTCATCAAATATAGAGTAGCAGTAACAGATAAACCAGGAGAGCACTCTGTCAGTTGTTTCAAGATGCAGTATAAGGTGACTCTACATCTCTACCTAGTCATAAAAACATACAAAGTATTCAATCTAAAGTTCTCTAAGTCATTTTGTGCTAACATCTAAAGTTCTTTAAATCAAAGTATTCAATCTGCAGTATAAGGTGTCAAGTGACTCACAGGAGTAGTTGTGGGTGGCTGAGGTGGAGGGAATAGCATCGGTGGCGGTGGCAAAGCTTGACCCATACTCGATGCAAAATTCTGCATGTATTGGAACATTTGGTCCATCCTCAACCGATTTTCTTACTCTATCCTCTGCCGCTTGGCCTCTATCCTCTGCTGAATCATATGCACCATCATCAGCCGTTGTTCTTCCTCCATGTTCTGCCGCTCGGCCGCCACCCTCTGCTGAATCATCTCCTCCATCCTCGCCTCCATCTCCTCCCGTTGCTTCGTTTCTGCTTCCACCCGGGCCTATAATATTTCATCCCAATGTTACAATGCAAAGCTAAAGTACGTAACAATCAACAAACGATGAATAAAACAGATATAGCCTGGAGAGCCTCCATCTGGAACTGTGTAGTGGTTGGCCGTAGGCGTATCGCCGGGCTCAAGCTCGTGCTCCTTGCTCGGATCTGGGAGAGAGTGGGAGTAGAAGCCGTGTCGATTGTACTGTCGCCAATCCAGTACCAGCCATGCTTCTTGTCTTCTCCCACCCTCATCGCGATTTATCCATCAAGATCCTAGGTGCTCGGATCAAACTCTGACCCATGAACCTCCCTTGCCATCGCTGTATACTCAGTGACGCGGCTGTGGATGCTGGGATCGCCATACGCCTCGGGCGGGTCCTCTGGGTTGAAATCGATGTTTGCCGTCACCTTGCCCTTTTTGGACAGAACCCATGCCTTGAACTGGGAGCAAGGCTGGCCATAATGTGACAACGATTGCGGCAAAAATGCAAAATGATTAGAAATTATGCAGAATTGAGCGTTAGAATAAAGAAAAGAATTCGCGTACCTATTTTTCCTTGTATTCGTTGATGGTGTGATGCACGTGACATCAGCAAACGTCAGTCCCGACAAGCGTTGTGCGTCTCCACCCACCCGGGCTCCAACCACTTGTCCACCATGTATTCCCAGCACTGGGTATGCTGGGCGCACCAGTACGGAGGCACCTACGTCATCAAGTGTATGACATGAAAAAATGAAATTAAGCATAATTAATCTCATAAAAAGTAAGTATTAATTTTCTATATTTACCTTCAAGAATTGTTCCCGGGTCAGGTTCATTGTTCTTGCCTCTTCTTTTTTAACCTTCATCCCTCTGTATTGAGCATAGTAGTTGATGATGGCCTGGACGCGCGCCTCGTAGTGCATGTCCTTCATGAGCTTCTTGGCGGCTTCTTCAGAGATGGAGGCCGCCTTGGCCTCATACCCCTCCTGGCATCTATAGAAGTCCTGCATATAGACGCGATGTATACAGTCATTACTTCAAGAATGTCCAGTGAATGTGATGTATTGCGCAATGTAGTGTGAGGAATACTTACTCACAGCTCACCCTTCACCCGCTCCGCCTTGTTGGGGAATACCCAGCTATCACGATCAGCGACGTAGTGGTCCCACGTGTAGGCCGGCACCTGCTCTTCGCTGAACTACTCTAAGCTAGGGAAGTGTAGCCTGCACAAAAGGCCAAGGATGCCGTTGACCTTGCGGTTGTGATCACCCCCGCTGACCTTAATTCAACCCCTACCCAAGTGATTAAGATAAATTATTAGTTTTCATTGTAATTTTCAACATATCAAACGAAAAATTATTGAGAACATCTAAAGTTATTTACTTTTTCCCAGAGGGTCAAATCATCGGGCGTCTCTCAAGAGGTATCGGTCACCTCGGGAGGGTCGAGGGACCTCGCAACCAGACCTGGGAATCAACTGCCTCCTCCTCCATGTGCTCCTGCTCCTCCTGTACCTCCTCCTCGTCACCAGAGGCGTGTGCGGAAGGTACTTCCTCCTCGTCACCAGAGGCGTGCGCGGAAGGTACCTCCTCCTCCTCAGACGACGACGAGGAAGCTACAGGCGACGGGGGCCT